AATAATTAATTAAATATAGTATATTAAATACGATCTTTATATAGATAAAAAATCGTCTTTTTATTATTATTTTATATACCCGCAGTATATATATCAGGTTAATATATTTTAAATTTAGATATATGATTTAAACGCTGGGTTAGGATAAATTTAATATAAATTATATAAACTATTAAAGTAATAGCCCCTAAGTAAAAAAAAAACCACAATTCTTCTTCTAAACACCACGTATAACTATATCACTCACCAAGAGTTACTCCATAGTGTACCTTTCGAAGAAATTAGCAAGCAAATGTAATTATACTGCTGATACATAGATTGTACTATATTCTCATACTATTCACATCCAATGTCCGTGCTACCTAGAGAAAGCTTTTGCGATGATATATATGTGCTTTTTTTTCGTATTCTGTTTTTCGAACTTTGTTATTCAATTGCCTTATTCCGTTTCCAAGCCTGCTGACGCAATGTCGTGGATATACCCAATCTTCCAATCCATGCCTCCATAACGATGTATCCCAACAGCGGGAGTAGAGATGCCAACAACCAACTCCAGAAAGTAAACAAGAACCATGTGCAAATAAATACCCATAAAACCCTAAATGCTATCCAACATTACCGCCATCCATATCGTCTATATGTATTAAACAAATCCTCCATTACTTTTTTCATTGCGGTCCTTCCGCGCAGGAATCTGGTTCGCAACCGCGTCCTTGGGCACCAGGACCTTGCGCACGGTGAACCCTTTCTCATTCTCCGGTCGGGACACGCACTGTCCCCATGATAGAACTCACACCGAAACTTTAGAAATTTGTGGCGATGTTGATAGATCGTGATAATATCCCCCGTGTATATCTTGCCAAAATGAAACCCTTCCCGACTGGTATCCCCCTCCGGCCCTCGACGCAGCTCCGTATCGTTCACCCAAATGCACTTGCGAGTCTTAGTTGAGAGTATTGCCATCACACCAGGTACAGACAGCCAATCCAGCCCCGCCCTTATCTTGGACTCAATGGCGGGGGCCCAAAAGGTGACCTCCAACGCGTATGCTGGGATTCTCGTGTCCATAGGATCTGGGTAGCAGACAGTCGCTTGAGGACCCCGGCCCCACGATGTCATACGATCTTCCAAAGGGATCGTCAATTCGAAAATCGACCCAGGAAGCGTCGTCAACTTGCCCAGGAGAGTCGGAGGTTTACTTGGCTGGAGCACAATTTTGGGATTCATAGTAGGCGCGGGATCGGCTGGAGCATCACCACCCGTTCTTTCTGGATAGTCTAAAATTGGCTGCCCGGTCTTAGCATCAATGGTATTTGCCAGCTCGATGTCGAAAATCTCTCCTGGGATAGATTTGGTTTCGTGGCGTTCGTCCTTGGCATGTTGCGCGATACTCTCGGGGCTCGAGCGTTCACTGGCGGTATCAGGCATGGGTAATTCAATCCGTCGGCTGAAGATGGCCGGTTTAGGGGTTTCGTTACCAGGGCTGGTTAGCTGCCTTGTCTTCGCCTCCTTTTTCTCTGCAGAGTCCTCCCCCTTCGCTCCAATTTGCCGTACCGGTATCTCGACGACTGGCGGACGGTTGGTTGATGTGCCAGGGTGCCACGAATTCATGTTCAGCTGCCCAACAAGGTTCTCAGCTCCCATCAAGCTTGGTGCGGACCCACAAATAGGGCCTCCGGAAGGGAAATGATGGAGTTAAGGCTGTTGCCGTCGCTGACCATCGACTCACCGGTTGAAGAAATGAAGTCATTTATGCTGAAGTTGTCTCCTTCAAACGCATTTGTATTAGTTCCCAGCACATCCGAGCTTCCTAACACAGACGGGGTGATTTCACCGAAGAGGCGTTTTGGTGTTGTATCAGCAGCAACCTGGACTTCTTTGAAACTTTCAATATGAGGCAGAGATGGGTAACGAACGTCCGTGGGTGGGCAATCAATCCTCGGCCGCTTGGATTGCGCCAAATCGCTATCCTCTTGCTCACCCGGGTCTTTGGGTTCTGATTCGTCGTGGATTGAAAGCTGAGATGCATCCAATTCCTCTTCCGCATCCTCACCGATGTCCGAAAGGTCACCCCGGACATTGGCATAGAGTTCGTCATCATCATACTCATCCACATCTTTAACCTCAGCAATCCATGGATGCTGAAAGCATTCACGTTCTGTCGGACGGGCCTGAGGATCGCGGTTTAAAAGTCGGGTGACAAAATCAATACCTTCTTCTGACACGCCTTCGTTACGCAGGATATCAACATCGGGATCGGTGGTCATGATCGTTCGTAGCATCTGAGCTCCTCTGTCATCGCCACGGCCCATAAATGGAGGAACGCCAGCAAGGATGTGGTAGAGGACCGCGCCAAGGGACCACATGTCGACGGTTTGGCTGTACGGAGAAGTTTTTGGGGGTCTGACCATCAGTGTGCGTTCGATTAAGAAATGTCACTAGGGAAACTTACGGATCACCTAATCGTCGCCTTTTCCTGACCTCACCGTGACGATAGGAATCGTACTCTGGGTAAACTTCAGGGGCGCAGTAAAGCAATGTGCCACAGAAGGTCTTGAGGAAGGTCTCTTCCTGCACTACTTTGGACAGCCCAAAGTCCGACAGCTTAACTCTTAGTGGATCGAGCGAGGAAATGAGGATGTTGTCCGGCTTGATGTCTCGATGAGTGATCTTCCGTTTATGGAGATACTGTAGCGCATGCAAGACCTGGCGGGAAATGGTTTTGACCATGTCTTCGGGAATCTTGCCAATGGATTGCAGGTACGTCGACAGCTCACCACCGGGGACGTACTCCATAATGATGTAGATCCATCGATCATGCTCGTGATGGTCAATATACTGAACAATATTAGGCTGCCAAGAAAAGTATCAGTCAAACGATCATCCTGTGCCTGGAGAAAGAGATGCTACCACTTACATGCTTGAGGTCCTTCATAATCTTCATTTCATTATCCACTTTCTGGTCCAAGATTCCGTTCTTCATGAAACGTCGCTTGTCAAGCTCCTTCGCTGCATACACGGCCCCATGCTGCTTTGTGGCAAGTTTATACACCGTTGCAAAGGCTCCTTTCCCTATCTGGCCGGTGACATTGTACATCGGCCCGCCTGTCCAGTGCATCCCGAAGGTATTAGAAACCGTCCATTGCAAAACAGGCTGTGCCGAGGTTTGACGTGACTTGACCTGCGTAGTTCCTGCCCGGTGTTTCTGTATCCGCTCAAAATAACGTAGCAAATTCTCCGTATATTGCATAGAGAACCCCTCTCGATTTGGAATGCGGACGACGAACCTAACTTCATCTGAGGTTTGGTCGCCATTCATCACTTGAATGACAGAGCCGTTGGTCAGCATTCGACTATTCTCTCTCTGGCTCTTGCGAAGACGGCAGTTGTCTACAATGGTGCCATTGGTGGAAATGTCCTCGAGCATAATGATTCCGTCTTCGGTGAGGTAGATACGGAAGTGCTGATTTGAGATGCGTTTTGAATTCTGGTCACGGGCAAGGAGAAGATCGCAACGAGTTCTGTTGCGTCCGAAGCAAAATCCAGTGTTCAAATCGTGCACTTTCGATGACAGCCTAAGCCCAATGTCCAAGGCTGCTGAAGTTTCGTACACGAGCTCATCTCGCTGAAGGATATGCTGGGGCGCAGAACTGGCAGAGGCGGCCACCGCATGGTGGGCAGCAGGCGAACTAGGATGTAAGATACATATTATGTCCGCCACGTCCTGCTCATGGAGACCAGAGTTGTTGTAGCCCATGCGGCGTGGGTCCGTACATGGCTGGGTGGATTCTTGAGTCGCTTCCATTTGGAGTGGGAGGCGATAAAGTCTGGCGAGAGGTAGCTGTAAAAGAAGAAAGAACTAACTACTATCACAAGATAACTTAGGGTATATGTGCTGATGTATGAATATGAAGAGATGTTTGCATAACCAATACAATCAATAACACAGCTCCATACCATGAACCTATTGGAGGGGTCAGTTTTTCAGGGCTCAGTGTTTCATAAGGTGGTCTTGACTGTTGGAAGGACCTGAAGGCTCCTTACCTTATGCAAAAGCAACGAAAAATGAACACCAATGATAGGTGCGCTTCAATGGACCCCTAGCTTGCCACTGGGAGTGTTAAACTATGTGCACGGACTTGATACTAGAACAGGAGTTGCCTGTACTGAGCCAAAAGGCACCAGAAAAATCCACCAAGCTTTTGAGGTAAAATTATATTCCTAAAACGCGTAGTGCCTCGATGACAACGAGTATTGGGAAGGTAAATCCGTAGGCAGGGAGACCCCGACCTTGCCGGCCAAACAGTCAATCACAAGCAAGCTCGCACACGATGTGGTGGGCCGGATTCATTGAACAAAGGAATGACAAATGGAAGTTCGAGCTATGGTTTAAAAGGAGGGAAAGGGCTATGTCTGTGAAACAGTTGATGGCATTAGTCGGGAGCTCTTGATTAACGAGGAGCGACAGGACTCGAAAACTTACACAGTTGACGAAGTCCCCATCCACCATCCACTGCACAATCCAGGACGTGACTGCGACAATGGCCTTAGTTTAGTGGGGCAATCCGGCAACAGGGACGCGACAGGATACTGTCTTGGTAGAGTCGTCGTCCACGAAACAAGCAGTGAGGCTGAAGTGAATATCCCGCAATTTATTTGAAAGGCGGAAGACGCCCCAGGCATCAACAAGGTAGTGCTCAGGCACCAAGGACTGAGCTGCCTGAGGCGGGCAGAGCCTTTCCATCCAATCAGGATGTACGGTGGGGATATTGGGCGGGAACCAACCGTGGATGCCGAAGTGGGGATTTTGGATCTATCGACCCGAGACATGTCGGTTACCTTTTATTTTATTTGCACGCTACTGTTCGTCTAGCAATTAATACAGGGGTTTGAATCCGTATACATTCAGGCATCATGCTCGATTGAAAGATATAATATTCTATATCTATCTTCACACTACTAGTATATCTATATCTATATCTATTGAATAACCAGGATATCTTTAAGCATGGCTCATCGGCAGTGCCGACATTCGTCCTTGGATTCCGTTCTGTTCATCCTCGGTCAGCTCAATCCCAAACTGATCCCTCAAAGCATCGACTCGTTCCCTCTCGCTCATGCACGTTTGGACCAGAATGTTCTTCCCGCCTTCATTCTTCTTAATCTTGTCACCATCCAAGACCATCTTCCCGTACACCTCATCCCCTTCACGAAGATACTTAACCACAAGCAAATGTGACGTGAGAAAGCAGTCCGAGTGACAACTGGTGAAGAAGCTCATTACTTCGAAATCACGCTGGAAGAATTCCATCTCTGTGAAAGCGTAGTTATGTATCCACGGCTGGTCTTCCGCATTGCGGGTCTGATAATTCCACTGGCGTTGACGTGACCCAGGCAGAGGTTCGTACACCAACCGCATAGTCTGGGTTCCAATGTTCTCATGGATAGGGCCATCGACCAATGGTAAAGGAGATCTGGGACCATTCCCTCCATATCCCACGTCGACCAGGTATCTTTGCTGGTCGAGGGTGACGATGTTCACAGAGTGCTCCCTTGGAACCTATCAACATGTACCCAGACACAATTAACGTGCAAGTACTCACCAGCCCGACCAGCCCGCTGGCTTCCCATTTCCAACTCGAAAGAGCCGTGCACCAGTAAGGTAAACATCGAATCCCAGAAATAGAAGGACATGGTGAAACAATATATTGTTTTCCATGCAATAACCACCGCGACGTCTCTGGACAAGCTTTTTGTATAGCTCTGCCACATCTAGCGAAACCTTCACATCCTTCGCATAATGAAGGGACAAGTTTTCGTAAGGGATTGCTGAAACGTGATACCCTTGAAGCCTAGACAGGAACGGGAGATCCAATGTGGGGCCCTGACCGCGACGGTATGATGTCGGTAACTGGATGCGCTCAAAGTAGGCGTCAACCTGTACACCCGTGAGCTGAACAAGTGGATGTCATATTCTGTATAAAACCAAATTTGGGGCAGGGGGTCGTTTCTGCTTCGCAGAAAGAAGCAAGCCAGCCGAGATTCAAGTATATATAATATGACTCATGTTAGTCCGATCTACGGAATAGTTCATGGTTGATGCTGAGCTACTAGTAGCCTTGGTGGAGATTATGCACATCAAAAATCTGCCCCCAATTGGATACTGTCTGATCCGACCGTCGATCTTGCAGATTTGAGATGAGGGGTGCCGATGGTCGAAATCCCGATATCCCCAATTTTTCTTTTTCTTTTCTTCTTTTTCTCAGTTCTTGGAAAGTGCATGCTTTGCTTTGCAAACCACCGAACAATATCCTTCCCAAATTCCCGTTGTCCATCCCGTCAGAACTGTCTACGCTGTGTTCATTATGTCTTACTTTATAGTAAGTTCACCATATATTCAAATCTTGGAGACCCGCTAATCTATATCGTGAAGGATGTCATCTCCGGCGACCAGCTGCTCTCGGACGATTTCCCTATAAAGGAAGTCGACGATATTGTCTATGAAGTGGACTGCAAATTTATAGAGGTTGAACGAGCCCATGATGTTGGTGCGTATTCACCCTCCCATCCTTATGAACAGACCTTTAACGCAGGATGCAGATATCAACGCTAATCCCTCCGCTGAGGAAGAGGACGATACCATCGCCAAAGTCAATAATGTTGCGCATGCGTTCGGCCTGCAACGAACCAGCTTCGATAAGAAGACCTATAGAGACTACATCTCACGTATGCCCCCTCTATCAGTGCTGGTGCAATCTACTGACAGCGCCACAGGCTACATACGGGGAATCAAGACCCATCTTCAAGAAACAGATCCGGATAGGGTTGAAGCGTTTGAACGGGGTGCATCGCAGTATGCGCATAAAATCCTCAGTCATTTTTCAAGCTTCGATTTTTATACTGGACCGAGTTCCCATGCCGACGGCATGGTTGCTCTGCTCAACTACCGCGAGGATGGCGACACCCCGTTCTTTACCTTTTGGAAGGATGGACTGCAGGTGGCTGATATTTAAGAATGATCAACGAAAGTGCACTATATGAGATGGTCGCACTAGCTGCATGTATAGTCCATCCAGGATAGCCTATCAAAAAGAATGCTACTGTTGGAGGACTAGCGGATCTCGAGTCGTGCGGTCAATGATTATTTAGAATTATAATGCTACAGTAATCACAACTTCCCGCTTCATTTATATAAACATCTTCCATAGCTCTTTCTGAGGAAAAAGACCGAAAACATTAAGATGTTAACCTTGGTACCACACCTTGTCGATCAAATCTTGGTGTTTCCAGGCTACAGAGTATACAATGTTTCCTATGCTAACTATGATATTTTTCTTAATACATGTCCCTTGCAAATAACAAATCGGTATAAATCCGTAATACATCTTTTTGAGAGGTCGTATTTGCAATAACTACTCGAGTAGCCGAATGTAGATCGGAATGCGATTACTAATCGCACCACCCCCTCTTAAAGAGTGGATGCCCGCAAAAAGAAATCTGTGAGTTATATACTCTTCACTTACTATGTACTAGTACCCGTTGAGATCAATACATTTCAAGTCTTAGGGCTTTCACCTGCTACCGTATGGTAGGCTTTGATCCGTGCTACGTTGATAGCTCCCACTCATAGCCAATCCAAACACTTCTCCCAGACGTGCAATCGCTTCGTCCGATACCTCTGGGATCGAGTCAGTGTCCGCTGCAAGGATAATCCTAAACAACCCGTAGAATGAGGGGTACGTACGGTAGTGAATGACAATCCGATTGCCCAACAGCTTCAGCCCCTTGTCCTTCCCTATCTCCCCCAAGTCATTGGGCCCCAGCCCGGCCGCGTCAAGGTCCACCCACACCATGTTAGTCTCTACTGGCTGAGACAGCTTGCCGCCGAGGCGTTGCCACATCTCAGCGACTTTCTTCGCCTTAATATGCGCTTCCCGGAGCTTCCCTCCCTGGCCATGGGGGTCCGTGCCAAAGTTCTCGTCGAGAGCAACCCGGGCAGCTGCAGCGAGTACCCCTGCTTGTCGGACTCCACCTCCAATAGCTTTGCGGAACCATCTAGCTTTCTTAATAAACTCCTTGGACCCAACAATAATACTACCAATAGGCGCCCCGAGACCCTTAGAGAAACACAAGCTCACACTGTCAAACAAACTAGCGTACTCCGGTAAGCTACCGGCCCCAGACACCACCGCTTCCCAGAGCCTCGCCCCGTCCAAATGCACCTTGATCCCGTTCGCGTGCGCCCATTCTGTAATTCTACGAGCCTCCGCGAGCGGCAGAACCCCACCGTCTAAGGTGTTTTCCAGGCTGATCAGCTTCGTGGGACAATGGTGGATGTCGTCGTCAAGCACCGCATATTTCTGGATATCCTCCAAGGTGAGATAGCGGCCATTCTTGGGATCGAGGGGTTGGACCATCGCACCGGTCAACGAACTGACTCCTCCCGCCTCGTAGCAGACGATATGCGAACGGCGATCGCATATCACAGAATACGGCGGCTGCACGAGGTGAGTTCGAATCGCAACCTGGTTACCCATTGTTCCGGACATGACGAGCAATGCATCTTCATGGTTGGTGCGTTGGGCTACATAGGCCTGGAGGTCATTGGTCACCGGGTCCTCATTGAAAACATCGTCCAGGAGCGTGGTTTGAGTGATCGCTTCGAGCATTGACATAGTCGGTTTGGTCATTGTGTCGCCTTTAGTTTATGATTTTTAGCATATTTTACAAAGATATATAATTGACATAAGTCTTACTCCTCAGGTCAAACTCCGCCGCCCCAACACCTTGCCAGGTGTTGGCTTTATTATTGGAAGCTGTCGATAAGCTCGCCATAATGAATCTTTGACCGGATGCGACCCTTTGAACAGATAACGCCGACCGAAACAAAGGTGGTGGTCGAATCAATGAGCGAAAGAATGGCCTCATCAAGTCCGCTTATCGCTGACAATCCACAAAGCATACAATGAAGGAGGGGTGCAATAATGACTCGGTACCTGCATGGTTGTTTCTTTACCGAATGGAGGCATTCCGAGACACCGCCTGCACCGCATTGCGGGGACCATGGAATAATTACCGCGTACGGACCCATACGGTAAAACCAATACGAGGCCGGACAAGATGCCGGGGAATTGAATGGAGTAATAAGCGTCTGAGAATGACGACACTTGGAAACGCGTGCGGTTCTTATCGATAACCCAAATAGGAATAGGCGACCCGCCGACGTGTCCCGACTGTGGCTGAGTCAGCAGTCGAGATCCCTCTGGACTTTTGCAGGGTGGGAGAGGCTTTCAACGTCTTAGCATAGTACCTCCAACCCTTCTGCAGGTGGCGTACGGCATATCGGACGCCATTTTGTGGGTTTTGAGATCTATTTTCACCATGGATTTATCGAAATTGACCCGTCCGGCCATCCTGTGCCAATGTTTGCGCTGTTCGAGCTCCCTGGCCGCACTGGAGAATGAATGGGCCAAGCTTTCCAACTCTTATTCCGTCGCAGCAGGATGGCTAAGCGTCGAACTTCACCGCATTTCAATCTCGCCGGAAAAGAAAAAAATACCACAATCATCAGACCTGAGTGTCCTCCGTGGACGTATCCTGCAAGAGATCTCCTGCAAGCTCTGCCAGCAGAAAATAGGTGTGCTGTGTTCGCTAGATAATGGGTAAGTCGGAACAACACCGAATGAACAAGAGGATCATCGGCGCATGTATGGAGACTAACGATGCCAAGTCCTAATGTCTTCTGGAAGCTATCAAAGGTCTCGTTCCGGGAAATCGTGTCCATGCGCACGGTAGAACCTTCGTTCAAAGATGGGCTACTCGAGCGCCTGATCAACCCACCTCAGAAAGAATCGACCCGACGGGACAGGGCGTCCATCCAACCCGGAGCCTTGGTACCGGTCGGTTCATCCGAGATGGACCATTATACCGCATCCGTGGAGCAGCAGATCCAGCACCATGGACTGAGTCTCGACCATATCTCAAGTTCCGTGAGCAACCTACACGACACCATGTCGGAGCTCAAAGGTGCATTCACAGCGCTCCGTATCGAACTGAACGGCCCCGGTCGGTTCTCCGATCTAGGAAACACCATGAACAACGACTTCAACATGATCACAACAGTCTTGAAGGAGCTGAAATCCAAATCAGAAGAGATCGAAAAGCTAAAATTAGAAATCGAGGCCTTGAAACTCAAAAACCGCTACATGGAAGAGCAGAACACAAGACAGCAGCAGCTACCCTCGACCCTAGCGGTACCCGCCCCACTCCCAGAAGTCCGCAGCCCGGGATTGCTCCAAGCTGGCAGGAAGCGGCCATGGCCGGACTCCTGGCCCAGCGGCCGCACACAACCGATCGCCGACTCTTTCGACGACGGCGACGAGGAAGACAGCATCGACTTCTTCCTGGAAGACTCACATATGCCCCCGGTCAAGATCCCGTTAAAGGCCCCGAGACCAACGCAGTGATGGACACGCCAAACGATCCAACAGCGCCAAGATCTCCGAACTTCCGAATCGAAATCAATGAATCAAGACGCCAAAGTCCGCAATGGGGTACCCCCGAAGTCCACGCCAGTGTAGAGCAACAAATCATGTCCAAACGCCCCCGTATGTCCCAGGCTCCCGAGAAGCCACCATCCAGCGTGGAGCTGGAGAAAAGACGGCCAGGGCGGCCACGCAAATCCATAAGCCAAGCCACGAAGCCAGATTTCTCCCAGACTCAGACACCGAGGCCAACGCCGTTAAGTGAGCAAAACCCCAACATCAGTAGCAACGGCCAGAAGGAGGATGCACCCTCCAGCACGAGTCCCGGCCAACGCCAAACTGGAACTGAAGCCCGTCCGGGTCGTCCCCGAAGCATGCGCAGTCGGTCGCGGCCGCCACACCGGCATTCAACAGGGCTTAATAATAGTTTCTCCGAGCAGGACCAGACACAGACACCGGAGGGTAGTCAACAGGACACCCCGCGCGGTGCAGAAGATCCAGTGTCTTTTGATCCAGAGACAGGCTCCGGGAAGGAAAACCCGCCGGGAAAGACAAATGGTGCTCATACTGATGATGGGAATAAGCGTGAAGCGCAAGAAAAACGAAAGGCACAGGTTGCCGCGCGCGATACGATGGCACGCTTGGCCATGCAGCGCGAAGAAGCCATGGAAACGGAGGCTCGCTGATTCAGAAGCTAGACTGAAATTCTATTCATGTATTATTCATTTTATTTACTCCCTTCTTCCTGTTTCCGTCTTAATCGTTCACTCGCTGTTTTCCTTTTTGTCTTGAACTCCTGAACTCCTTTGGGTTTCTTATGTGATGGTGTATAAAAAAGTCGGTTCTTCACGAATACATGGAGCAGTGGAGCAGTGGCAGGGTTAAATTGGTCTTCGTGGGATCTGGATATCTCAATATTATTCAAGAATTATTATTTTCTTTAATTGTATCTTTTCAACCTCCTGCTGTACAGGGATATCTACGCTAGATCCGTAACCCACAGTATATCCAACCCAGGCCCAAGGCGACATAGAATCTATTTGACACACATGAATCCGCAGCCTTCTCGCGCCCTCTCACAGGCTTTTTTCAAGGCTTGTTCCTCAGTATCCGTCCATTTGACTGACAACTCATCCCATGGCTTCTTAGCATTGAACTCTTCCCGGAAGCGCTTGTGCATGGCCTGTAGCCTACTGACTTCGCGCGGGTCCCCAGTACCTGAGTACACCATGAACAAAGTACACGGCGGAAGAGACTCATAGACACGTTGGATATGAGAGACTGTACGAGATACTGTATCAATGAGACTCTTCTGGGGAGTCTCCGAGGGAGCGGACGCCGGAGGGCCAGTCGGGGTGGTTTCTTCAGGGGGAGGGACTAGTGTCGTGGACTCATTCGCGTTATTGGGGTCTGGCATACGATTGCACCAGCCTCGATACATTTCCAGTTCTCGCATCCGTGCCCAGGTAAAATCAACGCCACCGCCGGGAACCGACGCGTTGCTGTCATCTCCGTTTACGACGGATGAGATTCCTTTCACAACATCCTCGTCATCGCTACACCCGATTGCGACGGTCGCCTGCGATCCGAATCCACGCTCGGGGCTTCCCCAGTCTACCACAGCGCCAGTACGGCCTTCCCCTGCTGGGTTCGATTTGCCTGACCGTGTGGAGCGTGCCAGGCGCTTGAAGATGCTTTCATTCTGGGCGTCACTGGTTCCCCAACGCTCGCCCTTCTCACACTTTTGCTTCACCAGCTCAAGTACGGCGCGGGCATCTTCGATGGAGTCATGGCCGGTTTGGCCCTTCTGAATTTCCTTCCCGAGATACTTCTGCGTGAGCCACTTTAGGCTACACTTGAGAGGTGGCCCACGAGGGTGTGGATAAATGAATGTAGTGTCGACAATAAAAGGGTGAGTGAGCTTGAGAGCGTTCAAGTCCGAATTCAGGGAATGGCCGACCAGAATAGTGTGCGGAGTTAAGATAGTGAGGAGTTTTTGCTGGATATCAGCCAGGGTAGTCGTGACAGGATCAAGCATTTCTTTAGTAATCCCTGAGAACCGGGTAAGGTAGTCAATGACGGGTAACTGGGGCTTCACAAGCTCATCTAGTACCACTTCGCCGTCCCAGCCGACCAAGCTTATACGCGTGAGCTCGGATTTTCCACCTTCCGTTATACACATCTCACAGTCGAGGGCTAATACCGTACGCCCTGCTGTCATGCTTCCCTGTTGGATTTCGGCCTCGGCAACATCGCCTTCCTCCAAGTTTGCGACATGGGTATCGACCCACCCGGCCTCAGCATCCTGGCCGGCTCGTTTGCGGCTTTGCATCAAATCGGCTTTCTCATTCTCCTTCGTGAAAAGTGCCGGGTGCAGAGGATACTCGTTCTCACGGAGATCCTCGAGAGAACTGATGAACGTCGTTATCGGAGTCCGCTTGGGAACGAAACTCTTATCCATCCGTGCCTGTTTGGGACCCTTCTTTTGACTATCCTCCTTGTTCTTTGGAAGAGCGGACAACAAGATTGCTTGGAGCGGCGAGTGAACTTTGTTATACTTCGAATCTCCGGGTGCTCTGACCGGCCAAACATGAGGAAACATATCTGCCAGCGGCTGTAACGAATCTGGAAGTCCATCGCGCGACAAAGGGCGAGGGTTAAACCGATGAGATCGGTCTTCGAGAGGCAGCCCCTGTTTCCAACGATTAAACTCGGCCGTTTTAGGGTCCTCCCCCTGCTCATCGGCACCTGCAGTGTCATTTTGGTTCATTTGCGAGCTCTCTTCCGTAGGTGGTTGCAACGGAACTGTCCCATCAAACATGCCAATCTCCAGACCCGGCACCATCAATGCCACTACCTTCCTCACATGGCCCGAGTGCTTGATGGAAATCCACTGCGGTGCGATGCCGTCCGCGAAACAGTAGAGCAGGAGGCCCTGTAAGTCTGCGATCCGAATAGAGGATTGTAGTCGCCCATCGACGTAGGTAAGGACTGGATATTTTGTCTTCTCCCCGTCAACCCGCTTTTTCTTCGAAGGTCTTTGTGCTGGCACATCGCTCTTGGCCTTTGGTGGATCGTCCAACTGCATAGCTGTAGTAGATTCACTCTCCTCGGAAGGTTTGGGGTCACGAAGCATAGACAGTGTTTGCGCTACACCAAAGCCATTGCTGGCATTTGACGTGTCAGTAACCGGGGGTTCGTCGTCTGAGTAACCGGCCTCGGCGCGCTTGCGCTTCTTCATGCCTGCCATGTTGAGACCGCTAGTGGCGAAAGGGGATCGATCTTCAATGCCCGCTGCGAGCACGACAGTTATGTAGGAGCTCTAACCAACGTTGTCGTTCCGTTTGGCAAAGTTTTAAAATACCTTGGCCAAAGAATGGCCTGGACTATGATCGGTCTTTGAAGCTTGATACCTCCCAGGTCGGATTTATCAATCGACTTTTTGTATCACGTGCTGATAGCGGATCGATATGCATTGATGACTCAGTCATGGCATTAATGCAGTTATGCATATGTTGATCTATACTCCGTACAACCTACTCTATAATACAGTTGCTACGGATGAAAAGATCTGTCTTTTCTAGAATATAGCAGGTTTTAGATCTAGTAGATGTTGTAATCTGCTCACATAATAACGTGCAAGAATCTACAACTATGGGCCTCTTTGCAGTTCTCAACTTAATTCATAGACAATGTGAGCTGCATGCCTGTTGATGCACATGTACTTATCTACATCCTCTAAGCACTTCTCCTAGTAGGTTTGTGCTATTCTGCAATGATTGATGCCATCTTATCATCCTACAATTTCCACCAGTACGTAGCCTTAACCAACCCGACTAAACCCGACCGGGGCCAAAACGATGGTGTCATCGGAAGCGAGCCCCACCGACGCCAAACAGAAGGCGAGTCATCGCCAGCGCCGGCCGATTTGCGTCCCTCGTTCGATCTGATAAGCGGCCAAAATTTCGCCTCACTCCGATCTTCCCTCCTTCCTTCTCCTCACTACGATCCAACCCGGTGAAGCGCATCACAAGCTGTCGACTTGACCGTCCGCCCTTCAATCCGATCCCAAAAGTCCCACAGATTCAAACAAGCTCAACAGCCAAGCGACGACCCATCCCAGAGATTTCCCACCGCCACAGTCCAAAGCCCGGTCTTCCCAAACCCCGCAGAGAGAGAGTGAGAGAGTGGAAACGTCAAGATGTCAACCCTAATTGAAATCCCGTCCGAGGCCGAATTCACCTCCCACATCACGTCCCTGCCGCCGACAACCCTCTCGATCCTCTACTTCCACGCCCCCTGGGCCGCGCCCTGCGCGCAAATGCGCGCCGTGCTCTCCGCCCTCGCATCCCAATACCCCGCCACGACGCCGCCCACCACCTCCTTCATCAGCATCAACGCCGAAGAACTGCCCGACATCTCTGAAGACTACGACGTCACCGCCGTACCCTTCGTCGTCCTCACCCGCAACGGCGAAGTCCTCGAATCCATCTCCGGCAGCGAAG